TGATAAAGCACGAATAGAAGACAAATCCTAAAAGAGGTTCCTTACCCAGGATTAGTGAGAACGTAGCAGTCTGAGGAGTTTGTGATCTCAATCTTGCATTCTCTGCGTGGTGCTGCTTTACGTATTTCTTCACCGACTGTGATGGCAGTCACAATAAGCTCAGATGCAATGCTTATTATATCCACAATTTCCATCTCTAGTAGAACTGCCCTGTGAGACAAAATTATTATATGCAGAAGTGTTTAACTCATTGGTTGAGCATTAAAAAGGCTACATTTAGAGAAAATAAATAATACTTAAGGTTCAAAAGGTGTTTGGTTAAAAAAACAAAAACAAAACAACATTGTGCCTGGCTGAGAATAATTACCGTTTTACAGTAGCTTGTTGTTCTGCAGGGCATAAAATATATATATATATATATATAAAACAAAAAAACTGTAATCCAGGCATGATGAGCTTGTGAGTCGAATTGTAAGGTTATTTTTAAGTAATTAATTTTCACCTTAATGACAATTTGAAAACTGAACCGTGCATAACAACAATTGGGAAATATTTTTACAAAGAGTTTGGGCTGCTAGTGTGAGGCAAGTTAAAATCCGTAAAAGGGTTTGGCAGGAATGCAAGTTTTAGTTGCTGAAGTCAACCTTAGTCAGAAATTGTAGCACTAATCGTGACGTCCTGGCTTATGTGAATGGTGTGTGAACATTTTTTCTTCTTTTTTTTTTTAAACCATTTCTATATGTAGACTTAAATGCAAATGAATATACCGTGGGAGGTTTTGATGTTTGAAAGGGTTGAAATTTAAGTTTAGATCACAGGGAACCTTGAGAAACAGTGGTTTGCTTTTTTCCATAGGACTAGTTTAGAACACACACACCACACCTTAATAAAACACAAATCCAGGTGAATTACACATTTCAAATAAAATCTTCTACATAGTGGGATATAGAAAACAAAATAAAAGTTTGAAGTGCAAACCAAAACTGTTCCGTGGATGCCTGGACCTCAGGACAGTTTAAAATGAGCCTCTATGTGCAGCCTTTGAGTGTATGCATCTGATGAAGCAGCAAATATCTGATAGAACATTGTTTCTTTTCACCTAATCCAGACATACTTTGACTGAAGATTCAGACTGAAATGTTTTAACACCAGAGAAATGCATACCTGCTGATGACTTTCGATCTAGCTGAACCAGGCGGTACGGTGGCTGAGAGGGTCACAGTCTGCAACATGAATAAATTAAGAAAATTTTAGTGAGCTTTTGACAGATCCCAAGTTTGGTGTAGCTGTTGTTCTTTGGACCAAATCTTAAATTGTCAATTCTGTCTTTGTCAATTCTGTCAGCTTGCACCAGAGCAATCTGAAGGACACTAGAAGACAGGTGGTTTGAGAGAGGGATGAAGGAAGCCATCTTTGTTAAAGAAAAAAAAACATAGCTGAACAGAGAGAGGATTGTGGTTTGATTTTCGAAGCATTTACAATTCAGTCATAAATCTGATTCCAAGGAATTGACATAAGCACACTTATGACTCAAAAGTGTCATAAGTTATCACATTGCCCATGTACAACAAAAGGACTCCAAAAATCTGTAATAAAAATATAACAATAACAAACATCTGATCCAGTGACTATTCATGAATTCCACTTGTAATGTGCTTAAGAGGAATGAACTCCATGCTGCTTAAATATACCAACACTCCAAGTAGCGGTTGGTCTGGTGCAAGGAAATGGAATAACTTGTGTATAGTTGTTGAAAAATATTCAGAAAAAGTGCGGATTGTTGGTTATTTAAAGAGAGTTATAAACAAAGCAAGAGATAGATGTACATTTATCCATCCATCCACTGCACGATGTACATTGAAAATAATAAAAAGCAGCTTGAAAAGGAGTTGGATGAAGCCCATTCAGTCCATAATACTCATGGTTTCTTCCATTATTGCTTAGAGAATGTTGCCTGTGTTAAAACCAGTCATGTCAATAACAATTCCTACAGCAATATCCAAATTCTTATTTTCACATAAGATATAATTCATACTATTCCATGCAATCCTACTACATTCATTTATTTTAATTAATAACAGTACATTTTGTGCTCTGATAAGAGTCATCTGCCATGTACTGCGACCAAATATTATTTTTGTGTGATGATTTAAAGTTATGGACATCTTTAGATTGCTTTAGCTGTGGTCCCATCCTGTTCCGTTGCACACAAACAATTTCTGGTAGCTCTCACCACTTAAAAGATAAAGTTACCACAGCCACTCTGATTATAACTCACTTTGTGAAAAAAGGTTTTTGAATATTAGAAGGTAATCTATTTTTACTGACTTTACAAAGTAGCTGTGCGGTATTAAAAAAAAAAGATTAAGAAATTTTAAACAGAATAAATTGCAAAAATAGATTGTTGGTGTGATAAAAAAAAAAAAAATACTTTATGTATAACCCTTACAGCGGTTTTATTCAAGTATCAAAGGGGTAAGGTTGGCCAGGCAATAAGCAATGTACACTGAGGGGTGGCCAAAAGTGGATAGGCACCAGAACCTCAGGGTCAATCTACACTGTTCCAACAGGAAAATTAACGAGCAAAACATCCATATTTTCTAAATAAAGACAAACTATACTTTCCTACAGCCTTTGCTAAGAAGTAGAAGCATATATTCAAACATCCGTAATTTCTAGATAAATGTTATAATGGATAAAATTCTTTCAGTTTTCAGATCTGGGGTGTAAATCTTTTCCATTGTCATTACTTACCTACTTGTTTCAATAAACATTCTGCATAAAATTGATATTTAAAAGCACTAATATATACATAAATTAATTATTTGATAAGTTCTGTATTTATTATCTTTGATGTTAGTATATGATGTGCATAATTAACCACAAAAAAATTAAATGTTTTGAATATTCTACTTGAGAGTATTACTGCTGCCACTATTTGTATTGAAGGGGGGGAAAATGGTAGCGGTGGCCACAGGGGTGGCCAATGATTTGGCCATGGCCACTCCTGGCCCCCTACTAGCTCCGCCCCTGCTAGTATCAAACTTGTTTTGTGTAATTCATAGGATGGTGAAAAACAACACAAAAAAACCTGGCTGGTGCCATATTTCAGATAGCATTTGTCAGAAGTCAAACATTATAGTTGTATTTATCACTACTAAAACTTCAGTACGCCGATGCTTATCCTCCAAATATTCTATGGAGTGGATTAAAGGACTGCCTCCAGGCCTGTTCTTTAAGTTATTTTTATTTTTGCTAATTCATCCTAAGTAAATAAAAAAAATGTTCCTCTTCATACCTTTAATGTTTGTCCTTATAAGATGTCATCAGCAGGCAGGTGGGAGACTTCTTTCAGCCACAGTTACTCCCTCTACTCTTCTGGCTTTAAGTGATTGTCAACAGCTGAAAACTGGAAACACCTGAGCAGGAAGCTGAGGAGCTCCCGGATGCAGTGACATATTGCCACCACTAGATGGCAACCTTTTTAAAAAGTATATATTTGAGGAAAGCAGTGTTAATTCAATAGAACCACCTTTTTCACACTGCAGGTCTTTAATGCTTTTGTCTACCTATTTTTTTTAATGTCCAGACTGAATTACTTGCCCATTTTTCTTTACATATTGGCTTAAACTCAATCAGACAAGATAACAAAGGTAATCTTTGAAGGCATGTTTTCAGATTAACATTTTAGACTTTGATTGGATCATTCTAACACATGACTGCTGATTAACCTCTATCACTGCCTTATTCTTTTGCAGCTCAAATTAGATTATTTTCTAACAATGCCCTGTATTTAGCTCCAGTCCAGTCATTCGTTTATAGCTGCTGAAAAGCATCCCCACACCCGGATGCTGCTTTCTAAATCAATTATTTCCTTTTGGCTATAGTTTATAATGGTCTCATCTGATCGGAGCATGTTTTCTATGTGTTTTTGTGATGCATCCAGACTACAAACAGATCTTTTCATGTTTAGTTTTTTTTTTTTTTCCCCTGGCCATTCCTCAAAGATAATATTGGTAGAGTGTATGAGTATACAAATTCTCCCACTGGGGCTGAATGAATCCCATGTGTTTGGATGAAGATTTGTACAGTGCTGTACATGTTCTAAAGCATACTGTTATTGTATAAATGCATATTTGATGTTTAATCTATCCAAATCCTCTGCACTTCTGATATATGTAATGTATGTAACGGTTAACAACCTATAAACTAAATTTAAAGTCTGAGGCTAAAACTTCATTTGAATTTCTTAAAATAATTTAAATATTTCTCCCTTTATAATAACGTCTAAAAACACAAGCAACCAGTAAAATATAGAGATATTAAGTCTGTTATTGATCAAAAAACAAGACTAAAAAGCTTTTACATCTGCTGGAAACATGTTAAATGTATTCAGACTAAACTATAAGCATCACAATTGTTAGAAAAGCTTAACATTTTCACTATAAAGCATTGCAAATTGTCTAGTGTTCACAGATTTTATCATACCTGAGCTATTGTGCAGAAGTTTGGGGTAACACCTTACAGGATATCTTTCAAACCAAAATGCACGCTGCATAAAGGAGGCATCAGGGTAATTCATACGACTGGCTATCATGACCAGAATAATCTGCTAAACATTAATTCCTGCCTCCTTTAATTCTCTTAACTAAATGATATGCACATGGGATCATTAGAGCACAATTTGTAATGAGCTGATGGTGCTTCTAATTTTAAAGCTAATTTATAAAAAAAAAACTGGTTCAATATTTTTTTTCATTGCACTGGGTTAGACTTGATTTGGGAGATTTTGAAAATTAAAAAATACATTTCTCACAATCATACAGACACAAATATTCATAAAAAAAACCCAAAATTTAATGAGCCAAGTTGATCAACTCTTGATGCTAGAGAACATTTTTTTCACAAATATAAGACAAACTGAACAGACGACCAAACTCACATCAGTTAGGTGATCTGCTCACAAGGCATTCAGTCTGAAAACAATGGACTACTGAAAATTTACAGACTTCAGTTTTATTTCTGATCAATCAGATCTATTCATCCTTCTTTGAAGCAAAGTCCTGTTCGCTGGTCAGTTCAGCTGTGACTGGATGATGGAGGGGTGGGCTGAGCAGATGCTATTCCATCAGGTTGTGACGACGGGTCTGAGATGGATAGACATAGACTATTAGCACATTGCTTTAAATGACTTAAAAAATAGTAAAAATAAAATAAAAAATTTTGGAAACACTGGAAAATACTCACACATTCCATTTGGAGCTCCGGAGTGTCGAGGGGCCATTGTCTGTGCGTTTCCTCCACCAGGTACCATTCTGTTGGCCACAGATTGGCCTGAAGTAGGGAAGACCGTAGCGTATATTATACATACACACCAACAAAAAGCAAAGAGATAAAGGAGAGCTCTATAGCACTGTAAGGACTTTATTGTCATAAGAACTGTGAAACATTATTCTGTCATAGTTGTGCGTCTTTGGTTCAGACCTGAATGTTGGATCGTGTAACCCGCCTGACCGTGCTGCTCCCTTTGCTGGCGAACCTTCATCTCTGCCTGTTTTAGTTGCTCAGTATGGAAAGTCTGTCTCTCCGTCAGCAACTGTTGGCGCTGCTGCTCCAACTGCACCACAGACACAGATATGTACGGTTACTAAGAGCTTTACTAAAATGAAAATTAAGCAAAATATGTTTTTTTTTCCCCACCAGTATTTCTGAAATTATGGCAAGATATTGTAACAACAATAAGGTTGAAAGTATGGCACCTAAGGATGGATGGACAGGACAGCTACACTGGTACATTTCTTTACTCACAGCCTCCTTCTCTCTGTCCATGATGGTTTCCAGCTCTTCAAAATGTCTCAGTTTGATCTCCAGCTTCTTCATCTGTGTCTCCACCAGTAGAGCCACCAGGGACTTGATCTTTCTCTCTTCTACAGCTGCTAAGTGCTACAAGAGATAGTCAAGAGGAAAAAATACTTCTTAAATTGAAACCAAGCCAGAATTGAACTCTGTTCAATGTGAACAAATAATAATAAATAAAAGGAGTTTCTTTGTTAAATCTGTCTTCAGTCCTTTTTTTCTGCAAGAGCAGTGTACGTGGTCTGAAGGATAACCCTTCAGTTTGGTTTTTTTTTTCCCCTGCAGACTAAAGCGCTTTTCATATTCTTATAAATTTTCACATGATTGGTGAGGGTGGGGCTTTACCTTGGCCTTTGAGGCAGCAGATGATAGAGCAGCCGCTGCTGCCGTGGAAACACTTCCCTCCACCAGCTCCAGCTCCATCATCCTCTTTCCATCATCTCCTTCTCCCTCCCGCCTGTTCTCACCATCTTCTCCCCTGCCTAGAATACAGCAAAATAAAAAATACACAAAAATTTTGTAAGGAGACAATTTAATGTGTTTTACATAAAAAAAAAAAACATAGGGAAATTAAACTGCAAAACCAGGGAGGCTGGTGAAAAACATGCTGCCAACCTTGGACTACCAACCTGAATGAATCACCTATGCAGGGAGCTCAATTTGGTTATGTACAAAGGCTTTCAGATTAAATCGTGGCACCCTGTTGGCGGCTTATTATATATTATTCCTATTATACACTTTGTCTTTGTGAGTAAACAAACATCTTTAGTCTTTACAATAACAAGAGCATGTGATTAGAGGTGTACTATATATACTCTAATACTCAGAACGTTTTGAAGTCCCCTCAACGCACACATACCATCGCCTTCGTCTCCCAACATACTTTCTCCATGTTCTCTTTTAACTTTATCCCCCTCCACTTTTGACATGCCAGGCTCCATTTTGACTCCATCCATTCTTACAGGACCCTGCAACACATCCAAATAATCCATGAACTATTCCATTTGAGAAAGACACAACATTATCAACGATTGGGGACGTTATCGGTAATTTCTTTTCTCTCTAGTTCACCTGATGGGAGTTGGAGTCCAGATTTTCAGCTTCCATTGTATCTATCAGAGAACAAAATTGATTAATAATGCTAGAGGCATTGAGACTGACATCTGGGGTTATTTAGTTAGTTTTAGTTTTACCTGTCTGTTCTGGCTGGAAGGAGGGGTCAGAAATTTTATACAGCGCATCCTCCTGTGCTTTTGAGAACTCCTCTGAGATAAACAACAACAAAAATGCAATACATCATGATACACGAAGCATAACACATCTGGTCTATGATAACTCAGATTCATTCAACTCTTACCCAGTGCTGCCTTCGCTGCAGCCGAAGCCACACGCGGATCTACCACAGACGCCAGGAAGGCCACAGTGCTCATAACGGGGTTTTCTGATTGGCTGAAAGGTACAGGCTGATATGCCAGTGGGCCAAGAGAGGCAGACGAGTCCTCCAGGTAAGGGTCCTCAATGGGCAAACGTAGAAAGTGTAGGATGCATTCATCCTGTGTTCTGGAGCCAACATGCTCTGATACTTTGTTCCAGTCGTCTCTGTAGACTTCTAAGGCCTGAGAAACAACACAAATGAACAATATTCAAATGTACTGAGAGAAAAGGAGATTCCAAAGAAAAAGCATTCAAAAAGCCTTAAAAAGTATAAATTATTTTATAATCCATATTTTAAACTTTTCAGCCTCACCTCCAACAGTAACAATGTCTCCTGCTCTGTCCATTCTCGTCCTGCATTTGCTCCTTTAGTCTAAAAAAAAGCCCACAGCAGGTTTCAAACTGAAAATAAATACTGATGGATATATTTTTAGAAAATATATTCCTCAATAAGAAAGTTATTACAAACTAAGCAACATATAAAAATCTAAGTAAAGATCATTCAGTTACGTAATGTAAGAAAACTCAAAGATAATGTGGCAAAGCAACATATTTAGATCCCGTGAGCTTTTTCTTGCTTATATGCATTTATAAACTAAAAGAAAAATTATACTTGATTTTCCAATTTTTTTAACATGGGAAATTTGAAACAATGACAATCGTCCTTTTCATTTGGCTCACTTTAATGACAGCCCCAAGGAAATCAGATGCAACTAAAAAGACCCCAGAATTCAACTAACACATTTTTTTATAAGCCTTTTTATTTTTTTATTAAAATCCTGAAGTTGTGAGTTCGAAACCCACTCCCACAGACTGCCCTCTGGGTGTCTGAGCAAGACCCTTAAGCCCCGATTGCTTTATTACAGAAATATTTGAACTTGATTTATCTTCATCCTCATATTTCTCATTTCACCACTAATTTATGTTAGTCTATTATGTAAAATCCCAATCCAATAAGTTGTAACAAGTTAATACCTTAAATGTTCAAGATTCTGTATTTGTTGAATTTGTTTCTTAAATTGGTTTATATTTGAGTACCAGAAATGTTAGTTTGAAGAAAAAAAAAACAGCTTGAGTTATAAATTAGTTTAGCGACGGCTGTAGTGTGAGACCTTTGGATGTTTCCTGGCATAGATGTCGGTGCGCAGACCAAAGTTCTGGCAGTCTGAAGGTTTCTCTCTGTTCTTCTCTGGGAAATTCAACATGTGCTGCGAGGCGGAAACCTGACAGGAAGAGAATGAGCCGAGAAGGAGTTTATAGCAATGAAAGCGGTAGAGTTGTCACAATACTAAAACTCCAAACTTGTACTGAAACCTAGGAAAATATTCCATACTAGATGCCATTTTTGATGCCACGGGGATAAAGAAAATAACAAATAATTAATAACAGAAATATGTTTATCAAGATGAAAATTTTTTTCATGAAACATCCTTTCTCAACAAAAGATTCTAATAATAAAATAAGTTTGCAAATAAATGCAAGATTAATAACCCAAATATAACAGTTTGACAATATTTGAAGACTGAGGTATAATTTTTTTAATGTAAACATAATCTAGACATCTATAATTAATGATAGCAAAAATATGCAAACACTTGTATTTAGTATCGATCCCATGCTAAATTAGCAATGTATCCGGAAACAGCATTTGAGTAATAATACTTTTTAGAGTATCAATACTTTTGACCAGCCTAATGCTGCGTTCACACCGGGGGCAGCAAAAGCAGCAAAATCGCGTCTGCTGCTTCATTTTTGCTGCTTGTACCAGTGAATTCTGACGCGCATCTGAAGCAGCTTTGCTGCTCTCGCTGCGCGGTCCAAAAGTGGCTCTGACGCGCGTTGGGCGGAGCTTCACTATCCTTTCTCTGCCTTGCAGCTATATTTGCTGTGATCAGTGGGAATAAAGCAGTTTTAATATGTTTTTAAGTGAGAAAATACACCTGAAAACTTCATCAGTGGAGTCAGTTCATCCAGATTACAATCCTGCCTCCCAATGTTATTTCTGTCGGAGCCGCTCAGACCCCCACATACCGGCGGTGCGCCGACAGAAGGAATCCATTCATCAGCAGCCTCTGGTCGGGTCGCCTCCTCGCGGTTTACCGCGGTGGCTGGTAGGTGTTTTTCATCTAAATAATCCGATCTGCAGGCACCAGAATAATAAAAGCGAACATATTCTGCCGGCAGATGTATATATTTTAAGTTAATTATGCGTTAATAAACTGTTTAAGAGAAGTGATCAGAGCAGTCTGTGTCATCAGCGCTGTGTCTCTCTCCCAGCCAGCTCCCAGATCAGCTTCTCTGATTGGTTGACGCGGCGCGTCGAGCAGCAAAAATTCAATTTTTCCATCTCGAGCAGCAACGCGTTTGCGGCGCGTCACGCGCGTCAGATGCCAAAACGCGCCCGACGCGCTGCTTCAGCTGCTCAGACGCGCTGCGCTTGCTGCTCGAAACGCACCGCGGGACTTTTTGCTGCGCCTTGACGCGCGTCAACCATTGACTTTGCATGTAAACTCGCTGCTTCTGTCGCGCCAGCTGCCCCCGGTGTGAACGCAGCATAAAACTGTGCAAAGATTATCTGGAGATGTGATAAAGGTAGACCAGCAGCACCAACCTGAAGCGGCTTGTGCTGCAGGGGGGCTAGCCCAGATGGTGTGTCGGCAAGAACATTAAAATGAGGTGTTGGAGGAGGTCCCATAGGGAGAGGTCGGCTCTCTGCATCCACTTGGTAGTTGATCAACCCCCACTGCTCTAAAAATGCATGAACCCTGAACACAAATAACAAATTTTTTGAAACACAGACACAACACGGCAAGAAAGGCACTTTCACAGATAACTTACCTTATAAGAGCACAGACGTCTCCTGTCAGGTTTCGCCTGCAGGACGTAGAGCTGAGGTATTCTTGCGGGTTGAGTCTGTATGTGTCTATCATGAAGTTACGATATGCCAGGAAGCTGCGGAGCAGGAGAGACAGTTAAACATTGGGGATCTCATGATCATCTTAGCCTAGAAAGATGGCTGACAATTAGGGGCTCTCACATTTCTGGGGTTTTGGATTTGTTCTTGCTGTTGAAGAATTCAGGAAGAGCCCGTTTCTCTATGGAGTGAATGCTGGAGAACATTTCCAAGTTTGTCAAGGATTACAATCAAATTAGAACACACAAAAATAAAAGGTAAAGAGTTAAAAGTCAGTGTGGGTAAAAGGTTTACCTGTTATAATTGAACCATGATGTGTAGCTTGGTATTATGATGTGATGAGTTTGCTCTGTGATATTTTCCTCTCCCTCTAATAGGCGAGGAATTTCACTTCTTCCCTCATCTTCTTCCTGAACATACATAATTAAAAACAAAATAATAATAAATCAGTTAATATGAACATAAACTTTTAGATATCAAATTACTTAAAAGTGCAATTCCTTCCATTTTTAGGCTGTTTTTCATTACAAAAAAAAAAAAAATGTCCAAAATGATATTCCTTTAATGGCAAATTCATCAAAAAGATGTAAAAGGTGAAGCCAGCTTCTGATTTTGAAGTCAGCCTTTTTTTTTATTTGTTTTTTTTTATAAACATTAAACAGCTAGGATTACCTCTATTTCAAAATATATAAAATGTATGTTAGTCAATGGACTAGCTTATCCTTGATCAGATTCTTTAAACAATTTGTCATCTATGATACCCTTCCCTTTGCTGAAGCTCTAAAAATAGAAATGTCAATGCTTTACTTAAATAAAACCAATAAATATGATTAAAATGTAAATCCCTGCAAAATATGTTTTTCTATTTTTTTTTTTTAATCTAAAAGGGTTTATACAAATTTCCTGTCACCAAATTTTATAACTACAGACTCAGCTTTCTATTTTTTTTCCACTCATGAATGATTAGAGTGTTATGGACTTCTAATCATTTAAACTGATGGCAAGATGGAGCGGCCCCCCTATTTATATATATTGTATGAATTTGTGTTATAACCAACTGTTCCTATTGTCACTCTATTACAGATAGAGTCATATAACAAAAGTAATTTCACCCTGAGATTATTAAAGTATTTCTGATTCTGATTCCTCATTGATGGGACAGGTGTTGTGAATGAAACGTTGCCAAGCTTGAAAGAGCTCCTGTGTGTCGCTGAATGTCTGCATTTGTGACTGAAAGACATCTTCAGCCTCCATTTATCTGTTTACTACAGTGTGCTGAATTCATGTTAATGTGGATTTAAAGACATTGCAAGGGGGAATATTTAAAAAATGTCTAATCAACCAATTCTTTCGCGACCCCCATGCAGTACCTCCGTGGACCCCCTGTTGAAGACCTCTGATTTAAGGTATAATATGACCCAACAAAACCCTTCCTTCCGTTTATTCAATTAGCAGTGAGATCGAGACAAAGTTAAATTCAGATTCAATGACGTCTCAAAAGGCTTCATGGCAAATATTGTTGCTTTTGTATTGTTTTTCTGACAATAGTTTTACATAAGTTGACTACCTATGATAATAACAATCAGCTGGAAAAAACACCTTTAGACACATTTTTAAGGCTGTTAAAGAATATTCTATTCTCTGGTCTTTTCTAGTATTTTAAAAATCACAAATAGTCAATAAGACACTTAGCATAATAAAAAGACTATTTACCCTTCCAGGAAAATCATCATCCTGATCATCTGGAAATTAAAAAATGAATAATTAATACAGACAATGACAAGTCAGAACTTCTAAACTGAACACAATGTTTGGGCTCATCAAGAACATTTGCTGTAGCATTTGCTCGCCTACCAAGATCAGCCATGATGCCTCCCTTTACTGGTGTATTCTCACTATCTTTCTTCAGGTTCACTACATAGATAAAAAAAAAAAATCAAGGCAAAGTTTAGAAGGAAAATGTTTTTGCAGCTTAAATATTTGAGCTGGATTTGGATTTTGTTTTGAGCTGGTTTTACCATTCTTTGGGAGAATGACTTCCTCCATGTTTGGCACTGGCGTTGGGTCTTCCATGTCTTTGGTCAGGTCCTCCTCTGGCTCCTCTTCCTGTTGGCCCCGCCTTCTCCTGCATTGGTGTAATCACATTAATATAGGATCAAAAGCCTTGGTTGGTGAATTCAAACCAAAAACATATATGCATGCCTTAACTATATAGTCAAGCATTACCCTTTTTTTCCTTTTTTCCTGCCATCAGTGGATGGAGAGGGCGAACGCCTCCTCTTTTTGGATGGTGTGGACTTAGAGTCCTGTGATAATTTGACAAATGCATAACTTTTGAGTGTTAAAAAAAATACCCTTAAACATACAACTTTATGACACCTAACATAAAAATAGATCATTCTAATTTATTCACAACAGAGCATCATCTCTTAAGGAACAGCCATAGTTGCTTTTCTTTTGCTAAACAATATTTCTATCAAAATCGGGAAAAAATTACAGACTATAAATAAGCTGAATAGAACAAACGCACCAAAGCTTCAAGTTCACACAAACCTGATCCTCTTTAAGGTGGATTCGCTGTCGAAGGATGAGTGGCACATTTCTCTCATTCACATAGTAGTCCTCTTCATTCATCCACTCATTAAACACGTCTGTGTCCAGGATCCAACCTGCATTAACCTGGAGAGCACACACGATACATTAAAACAATAAACACAGATTACAATTATTTGGGTAAATCCCATGTTGCCACCAGCACTTCTCCCGCTGAAAATATTCCACAGAAAAATTGGACTATCCTCCTTAAAGCTTAATCATCTCTCCCTAATTGGAATTAGGTATGGTTTGTCATTTGTTTCATTAGCTGTCAAGCATGCAATGAACATTACATTAATACTTAAAAATCTAGGTTAAATGTACCCTTTGGTAGGCCTATAATAAATCTGTTTTCATGTAATAAAGATGTTCCTACTGTTTTTTTTTTATTTACTTGCATAAAATATATATTTACTACTCAGTAAATAGTAGTTCCCATATAACCCTTTTTCATTAGTTATGAAAATTTTTTAAATATACCAAAATTAAGGCAAGAGAACTTAACATAAACATACTTTGTCAAATTAATATATAGTAATATTATAGAATTAATAACAAAAATTGTGAGTTAATCGCACTATAGATTTCTGAAAAAAAAAAAAGGTATTGTTGGTAAGTTGATATTGTTGCGCTAAAATATTTCAAATTGCAGAATTTCTGAGCTGTGCTGTCAGTGATAGCAAACAAAACAAACTTGAACAATAGGAAATTAAACATTAAAGTTGTTATAGCATCGTTTAAAATATATAGAGCGAGGTTTCCAAGTGTTTCCCTGAAAAATACCTCTTCTTAAGTTACTTAAAAAGCAATTGGAGCACCATAATAACACAGAGTTAAGAAATAAAAAAGTTAAATATACTCAAGCTTAAGAACCCAGTGACTGTTTTGCTATAAAAAGTAATTTTCCATTAAGTCTGATTCATTACAATTTTTTTAGTTGAAATATTTTTCAATTTCTATGTATTGTTATGCTAACCCTCCATGGCCTTTCTAAGTGTGGCAGCTCTTCCACGTCTCCTTCCACATCACTTGAGGACAGCCAGCTGTCATAACTGTTAAGAAAAGAAAAGTAAAATATGGTTATGTTCTTTTTTTCCCTGTTTTAAAAAATTGCTGTAAATACAGATCAAAAAGCCTCCTGAGTGTAACTTTTTTGTTTAAAAACAAGGCTTCAGTTCCATTTAAGGATTTTCTCTCTTAAACTACCTGTCAGGGTGCATGCCCCAGTGGACCAAAACGTGTTTATCCTTTCGCATAACAGGACGCATCCACTCATCTAAGAATAAAAGTGAACACAAAACTTAAAAAAGGCCATACGATGTTAGTAAACAGATAAAAGGAGATCTACTGACCCTCCTCTGTAGAAGCAAGTGAGCCGTATACGTGATGACTGGCCATTATCCTGTCCTCAGTAATTGCCCCCTGGAAAAGGCGCATATAAAAGTTACACACAACTGATTTAATCCCACATTAAATATATTCTGTTAGAACAAAATATATTATTTTGTAGCATTTTACCTTGTGTTTGATGATAATACCAACGAGCCTACTGGACAGCTCCACATCAACAGCAGGATCAATGAAAACCAGAGGCAGCGATATACAGTTGTTCTGTTGACAAAGTTGATCTCAGATGTTATAAGATAATCCTTTGCATAAATCAGTTGTTTTTTATCTTTATTTTATCTGGATATTCCATACCTGGATTAGAGCTTTTTCAATTGCAACAAACATCTCTACATTTCTCTCAGTTCTTGATGGATTCTGGAGGTCAAACCTTCTCCTATGTGAAGATATACAGGAAATAACATTAAACATGGCTGTTTATAACAGAGAGAATTGATAAGGGCATAAGTGCAGGATGCTCGTTACCCACCAGCCCTGCTCAACCTTGAATTTGTAAGCAGTGCCAAGGATGTGACATAGTCCTCCACCTGGTTGCAATTCCAGGAAGCAATGGGCCTACAGAGAATGGTTCAGATTAGCTGTTAAGGTAAAGAAACATTCACATTTTTTTTTTACCTAAAACAACCACAACAATCAATTAGCAAGCCCTCACCACCAAAGGTGATCATGCCTTTATGGCTGCAGCACAGAGATTCTGGAATAACTTGCCTTGGCATATTCGATCAGCAGGCTCCTGTGAGGTTTTTAAATCATCTCTAAAAGCACACTTCTTCTCCCTGGCTTTTAATCAAGCCTAAATGGATATGTGGCAAATTTTTATTTTATATTAAATTTATTTTATTTAAACTGAAACATTTATCCTATTATATTTTGTCTCCATTAAATTTTTCTTTTCTCATTATGTTTATGTATTTTAGCTTTCATTTTTTATCTTATGCTCTGCGACTATGATTTCTGTACAGCACTTTGGTCAACCCCGATAGTTTTAAATATGCTTTATAAATAAAGTTTCAGTTGAGTTGAGTAGGGCAAAATGGTTATGCACTGGTAATAGTAAATTAGTAAAGGGGCAAACTATTCTGCATAAAAACCGCTAAAACTTTACTTCTGACGATTAATTTCTCATTATTTCAAATGCCCAGTAATACAGTGTAACCAATACTGAACATAACTGAATAATGTCGAAAAGAAAAAAGTAGAGGGAAATAAATTACTTTCTGGATTACGCACCATAATTATTTATTTTGCACTGTGCTGAACCTTACCATATCAAAAGTTTTTGCACCCTGACTTAAAACTGCATTTTCCTTTTCTCCTATACTGTTTACATTCTGATCACTGCTGCACTTTATAAATGGTAATGTTCATATCACTGTTGTAAGCTGCTCATTCACTGTTGAAAAGCTGTATGCATCGAAATTAAGTTTTGTATACAGTCTGTGTATATAAAATGACAATGAAGTTTCTCTAAGTCAATTTCAGTTTGAGATGAGTGTGCTTGAACAAAGGACATATTGCCTCTTCTGGGCTATCATTTATAAATCATTATTTATTTTTTCTAAGTTCAAGAAACTGAGAAACTCACTGGTAGCTTTGTGATTGCAGGGTCTGGAGCTTGTCTGCCAAAAGCATCCTCCTGAAACTGGAGAAGCTGCAAGGTGACTGCAGCCAGGACCTGGCAAGATGGAGCATCCACCAACACATACTAACGGACAGAGACACAGATTTCAAGGGGAAGGGAGGAAATAAGCCATTAGAAATCGTTTATCAGCTAGCAAAATTAAAAAAATATTACACCTTTGAGGCAAAATTCAAAACTTCTCAAATGAAATTTAAAAACATATACACAATTACAGACTTATCCCTTCCTACTCTTTTTCAACGCTTTATAAACACTAAAGCGAATCTGAGTATCTCGTTAAAGTTATTGAGCTCAATAGATTATTTCCAGTGCCTCTACGGGGGTTACTACTTGCAGGGGGCGGCTAGCGGTTCCACCTAGCTACCTTTTTGTAGTGCTTCCCGATCCACTGCCGCACCACCTCCAGCTGGGCTAAAGTGTCCGGACACTCCCAAAACCGAGCCGAAGGACTGCTGTCTTTTTTACGGTGAGCCAATGCTTGGCTTGTCCCCGGAAAGCCGGGGTGTGTTCCTCCGGACATTGTAACCACTGCAGAACGGGATTAATTATCAAACACGGAAAAAAAAAACCAAACTGACTAGCGCGGTTGCTAGCCGTTGGCGTTCTCGTTCTCTATCGCGAGATTTCAGTTGTATCGTCATAAACTGTAACTTTGATTTTTTATTTTTTTTTTGTTATTTTTTCCCAGAGTTACATTTCTCACGTTTTATTTATGTCAAATAAAGTGTTTTTTCTAATTTTAAATGCTTTAGGAGAACGAAGGGGAAAAAATAGGAAAATATTGAGCAGATTTTATTTTGAAATGTAGCCAACCAGGAAGTAAGTTCCCGTTTGAAGAAAACAAGTGACTGATCTATGACAGCTTCGTAAGTATAAATTACTTGGTTGTATCATATGAATTATGTAGCTTTATTATAAATAGTATCAACATATTTGCGTTATAATGTGCAAATGCATATAATAAAAGTGAAAGGAAAAACTCCAGGAACCATTGATATTCTACCAATGTACTAATTAAAAAATGTTCTTCCTTAGTGTTTTTTGTTTCTGCATCAGGTTCTATTTTTTTCTCTATTTTCATCTAGCAGGTACTGAGATATCATGGGTGTACAGGGGTTGACTACCTATGTGGAGTCGAACAGAAACTTCCTGCAAGATGTGAGGTTCAGGGACAGTCGACTGGTTATTGACGGCTGCAGTTTATTTTTCCGCCTCTACTTTAACCACCAGTTGGATCAGCAGCACGGAGGGGACTACGATGAGTTTGCTTGCCTTCTCAACCAGTTCCTCTCCGCTTTGCAAGCCTGTAACATCCAGCCCTATGTGGTACTGGATGGAGGTAAGGATTTATTACAAGTGTTTGTGTTTTTCTGTTTATTTGACTCCTAAAGAAATCTGAACAACAACAACAATAATAACAATCAATGCAACATAAAGTCTGGTTATTTTCAACATAAAAAAAAAAAAAAAAAACAGAGTGAGCTGCATAAAATTGATCATTTTGACCAATATTTGAGCATAGTATTTTTTTTTTCTTTTTATTTAACCATGTAAAAACATTTTAATCTGAAAAACTCACACGAAGAGAAAAGACAATTAGTAGAAATTTATTGATACAATTACTTTGTCTTTGCCACTCAGACCACGGCAGGAAACATAGCGCTTAATTTTGATAGATATGCATAAACAGGAGCAAAGAATAAGGCTATTTCCCCTGAAACTGGTAGTGGAGTGGAGATAGATTGGTCAGTCTGTAGACTGCTGGTTAGTGAGACGGTATACTGAGCTTTATGGGGAGATCCAGTGGATTGTGTGAGCTGATACTAGAGCTTCCCTCAGGGACCTGGAAGATGGAAGTCCAGTTGGATAACTCAGGTTGGGAGAATGAGCAAGCATGAAGCGAGGGTGGGGAGGAGAAACTCCCAGTGGCGAAGAAACCTCTGGCAGAACCAGGCTCAACATGGCGGTCTTCTGCCAGACGGGTTGAGATGAGACAGGGAATGCAGTAAAAGTCCAGGAGGAGTGACACTCTGAAGCTTTAGCTACGATGGTGGAGGAGGGGCTTGAGGTGAGTTACCGTAAAACGGTGTCATCTGAATGAAGTCACACAGCACTTCCACAGCCTGCGCACAGGAGCAGACAGGTGCGGATTGGAGGCCTTTTAAGGTCAACTTTGGATGCCAATTGGCTTTTGTGGAGGTGTGGTTCAAAGCCGATTGGCTGTGTTCCAGGTGGATGTAGGAGAGCAATCAGTTTCTTCAGTTAAACTTCCACCTAGGCTCCATATTAGAAACATGGACTGTAAAAACAAGACGACTACTCCCTTTGAATTGAGGCCCATAATTATTTCTATTTGGCTTTATTTACCAAAAAAAAACAATTAATTCAAAACTAAGTACTACTAATAAATACACCTTGATTATTAGTAAATATTAATATATGTTATTAATATTTACTAATAATCAAGCTGTATTTATTAGTACTTAGTTTTGATCCACAAACTTTGCAAAAACATTTTTTACGTTTATGCATTTAGCAGATGCTTTTATCCAAAGCGACTTACAAAGTAGACACAATTTTACAGTTTTCATCAATATATTTACAATTATCATCAATTGATTGATTAAAAATCTGTTACATTTATTGAATAGTAGCTGGTGTTATCTTATTAGGCGGACAGCCTACAGGTTGAACACACATGACCCTTTCAGCTGTAGTTAGAAAACCAGTTATTTAAGAAGAGTAATAGAATGGCACCCTTTTGGTTTTTACACCATGATGTTTTTGTGGTAGGAAATGTCCAAATAGGGCTCTCTTGTCAGGGATGGAAAAGTGTAGGAGACTTTATTTTAGCCAGCTAACTGAAAGCAGAATGGTGAAAGTTGTGGCTTTCTGCCTCAGTTTGTTCTCCATACAACAGTCGAAAATTCCTGTTTGATTCTCTGACACATTATGAAAAATATCTTAAAGCAGTAACGAAAAACATCCTTTCACCATGATGATTCATAGCGTGCATTATTTTTTTTTAATCAATCATTGCAATGTGCACTACGCCAATAACATTTGGTATCATCTTTCCATAGGATATTATTTCTCATTTCCTTTAAGCAAAGTGAAGCCATGTTGCCTTCCTTTATGAAGGAAAATCCATTCTTCTCGCGACTCTCACTACAAGCTATATTTACTCAGTCTTATCCCAATTGTTGGGTTCTGAACTTTAATGTCGGTTCTAAGTGCTTGTGTCGTTTGCTGATTTTCTGAGCATTATAATGTCTGATATTGAATAGATTCAATCATGGGAAGGCTGGGATCTTTCCTAAAATGTTATCCACCTCTGTGTAGTCTTAATTTAGAAGTGTACACTTCAAATTGTCTTGCCTCGTAACGCTTCAGATTGATGGGCAACAGTTGTTTATTGAACATTCTAATTGCTTACGTAGTTTCTGCTTGGTATTTGTGTGAAAACAAGCACTAAACCTGAGAACTGCTGTCTCTGCTTATTCAAAAGGTGTCATGATTAGTATGGTCGAAAAAAATCTATTTACTTTTTCATCCCTTCTCCTGTTAACTATGATTGCTTATCTTTATGTACTTTTTATTCACTCAAGCAGAGCACATGCTTTATAAGGCTGAATGCAGGTCTTATCTTACTGACACCTGTTTTCCAGTTTCAGATATTTTGGTACTAGCCTTGTCTCCCATAAACTCAAGGTTATTTCAACAAATGCTTCGGCTTATGACCATCCATCTATGTGAGAAACTGTATAATTTCTGTGTGAGAATCTCTCCCTGCTTTTTTTAAGTAGTTAATGAAAACGTGTGTGATTCAGAACAGGCAGGAATATTGCCAATAGTATATCTGTCCTCCTTGCAAGGCATTTAATGAAATGCAGGCTTGAATGAGAAACACTGAATCTCAATTTCTTGTTAAATAAGACCTGGACATTTTTTTTCTGTTAAACCTTGGATGAAGGTGCACTTTCTCTTTGCCATGACTGCATCATAAAGAGGGACGTTGCACCAATTTAATTATGGATTTTTTTAAAAATTTATCATATTAAGGGATGGACCCAAGTGACAAGAAGTTTGCTACTCTCCGTCAGCGTCTGCAGTCCAAAATAAAGGAAGCAGACAGCATTTCTCATGGCCGCCGTGGCTCTGTCCTTCCAATCCTGGTAGGAAAAGTCTTCATTCAGGTCCTGACTCAGAGAGGAATCCCGCTGATACAGTGTCCGGCCGAGGCAGACTGGGAGATTGCCTGTTTGGCAAGACAGTGGAACTGCCCCGTGCTGACAAACGACAGCGACTTTTACATCTTTGACCTTCCAGGTGTGGGTAGACAAAATTATCCTCCATTATTCAAGATCCAAATAAGCCTTTGTATTGATTGTCAAGAAGTTTGTTAACATGATATTTGTTTGTTTTTTTCTGTTCTAAGCTGGATATCTGCCGCTGCATTTTTTCCAGTGGACCAATCTTAATGGAAAGGCGTCCCAGCGCTACATCCCATGTCGATGTTACACCACTAACAATCTGTGTCGCTGGTTTGGGGGCCTGAATCGCGAGTTGCTGCCATTATGTGCGGTTCTAACTGGCAATGACTACGGTTCTCCAAAAGAGGCCGATACCCTCCTTGCTCTTATAGATGCGAGTTCATTCCAAAGAGGTGGTGGAAGAGGTAGAGGCAGAGCGCCCTCTTCTCGTATCGAGGGCCTCCTTAGTTGGCTCTCCTCTTTTCCAAGTGTGAGTGAGGCGTTGGATGAGGTTAACCGGCTGATGGATGGAATGGTTGGAGCAGGCCAGAGAGGGCAGAAGAGTGAGCTCAGCTCCCAGCTATGGGCTGCCATGCAGGAGTACAACATCAAGGCTCAAAGCTCGCTTGCTACCTGGTTCTCTCGGGGGACATTAGACCCAAGAGGGAAGATATCAGGTCTGGCCCAGTTCCCAGAGTGTTTGTCTCTGGCTGCAGCACAGGGTCAGCTGTCTCCTTTAGCTCTGGATGCCTTTGTCATGCAGAGGGTCCTTCTCATCCCGCAGGTGGAGAATAGTAAACTAGCTAGCAGTCACTGTAGCTCTAGAGCAATACGACAGGCTCTTTATGGGATTTTACTACACAAAGTTCAAAACACTGTGAGTCAGGCCCAAGGTGGCAGTGCACAACTTGCAAAGGTGATACCAGTCCAGATGCAGGGAATGAGAGGTAGAAGAGGACGGGGTGGAGCAGGCAGGCATGCAACAAGCATGGAGCATCCAGCTGGGGCGCAAACACACGGCTTCAATTCTTCAATCTTCGTGGAAGAGTATGACCGTTTGGACCTAAACATAAAGAAAAATCAAGTGGAGGCAATTATTCCCATGAACCACATACATCTGGATAGGATCAATCAGGTAAACATATTTCTCCAATCCACAGTATGGCAGAGTGCTTATTTACATGAGTGTATAATATGGTTGGAAAGAAAATAATTTTTTCTTAACTATTTTCCCAAATAAAACCTTTGCATTTGTACTTGTGATTCAAACATATCTCCCATCAGAACACCTTAGTTAATCAGATATTTAGAGCTTGAGTTTATAGAAAGTTAATTTGGTTTGGATCACATCTAAACCTAACAGGTT